CAATTTCCAAAATCTGAAGATAAAAAAATCACCAAAGAGCAGGCGCAGAATGAAGATTAGCCTAGATAGTTCAGAAGCCAGAATGTTTGCGAAGCTTCTTAATGTGTGTGTGCTGCAAGCAAATTCATCACTTTTATCTGTTACAAATAAATAATAAAAATTAAAGAATTTTCGAATTCAAGATGCACACATTACCGGAAGATACTTTTGTCTGTTGCAAATACTTTTTTGATCAAATACAGTTTCTTCAAGTGACAACTGTTTTATTTGTTTTGACCAATGCTACCTCACCGGATGGTCAGTTTACCGTTGATCCTGGGCTCACTTCTTCCCCCAGTAGCTTCAGCCGTTTCGAGATATCGACCGGTAGTTTCTGCTTAGAGACCGGAGAAGCTAGAAAGCTGATATTTTAATAGAATGTCCCTCGCTCAGTGCGATTCCGCAAACTTAAATTCAACCTTCGCTTACCCCGGATACCAAGTAGGACCTCACAAAATTTTTGGCCGGGAGAATTATTATTCCGGGAATCACCGAAGTTGCAAAGCCGAAATTTTAGGATTTTGTTCTCCAAACAACAAGCATGATTAAACAAACAGCACTCAGATAACGTACACGATACCGTACAAATATGTATCCTACTTCATAAACTGCCCATATACATGTGAGTGAACATAAAAGTTACATAAATTGTGGACTCTCACAATGACGCACCGGTAAATTCTTACAATAACGAACGGTATACTTTGAAAGCCCACCGGTAACACGTGAGGTTATCTTGCAAGCTTGCGACAAGATCACATGGAAAACTTTTATGTACAGTACTTGTACTTTGAGACTTTAGGTCCTTGCTGCACGTGTATGTGACATGTGTGTATGTATATTTGTATGTATGTGCGTGTATGTGCACGTATGTGTATGTGCATGTGTGTGTACATGTGTATATATGTGTGTACTTATGCGTATGTGTGTTTGTCTGTGCGATCAGTACCAGTACCTCGTCCCAAAGGTTGCGATTTCCAGACGACGATGAGGGAGCAACCGGTTATGAGGCGAAAATGCATAAAAATACAAATTTTTAAAAAATTTATGCAAAATTTTTTTGCTAATTTGCCTCGAATTTGAATAAACGCTGTTGCTTCTATATAAGCAAAGTGATGAACAAGGAAGGGTCACTTTTGCTATAGTTTGTCGAGACGAGCGGTCACCAGAAACTGGTCGAAAATGGCAGCCAATTGGCTCACAAATCTCATTGCTCTCCCTTTCTACAACTTGTCGGTGTTTTTAACGCCGTTCGTGGTCTGTATGCTTATCTGCTGCAAACGCCATCGGACGTCAAAGGTAGAATGCTGCATGCTTTTCACAAAGGTCTTATTTGGAGACAGAAACGAATCTGCATTTGTCCGATTCCCAAAAATCGCCAGTTTGCTACAGATATATTCGAAGTGCCCTAAGGCGTAGCGTGAGCACAATTCGGGATCCCGAGTTCCCAGATGGACAATAATAACTCAAAGCTATCATTTGTCTGGCAAAAATAACATCTACTTTTGCACCTTTTTACACTGAATTATCTATGTCGCCCAGGAAAATTGGTGCGAAGGTCTAATGAAGTACTTGGACGCCGGGGCAGTTACTGTGAAGTACTTAGATGTCGGGACAGTTATGCCAGGCCGTTCGAATTGAGGCGCAAGGCTAGAGGCCACTGGAACGTTATGCATAAAACCCAGCCACGACTTCCCAGAATTACTCCTGGAAATGCTTGAATCTCGTGCAGTAATGAATCGATCTATCTCTCAGATGAATCTTAACTAATGAACCGACAATTAGAGAAAGAGGTTAAAAATTTCCCAACAATGCGGTAAATTTTAGCGGAAAGGGCTACAAAAACAGCTGAAAAAATCAACCTACAAAGCGTGCCTTTATAACTGAAGAACGATAAGTTTAAGGTGGTTTCTGTTACCTCGTTTTTCAGTGACCCAAAAATTTTTCATTATTTTGTCTAACCCTTTTTCACTGCTTTACTTTATCAAGGTCTCACCCATATTCACTCTCTACGAAAGGCGGAGGGACCGGAAATGGCTGGAAAAGTAAAAACTTCCGTGAAAGGCCCAAAAAATGTAAAATTCAAATTTGCTGAAGTATTTTTTCAGACTCCATCATTTATGGAGGAAACGGATCCGCGTGCCGATTCACTTTACAACGTGAAAACGGAGATTGCATTTCCAAAACGTGTGGACGAAGTGAATTACCGTTGTACGTCAGCCGAAGTAAACACGCAAGATTGGAGCAAAGAGTATCTCGAAGGGACCCCTCCCACTCCTTCGCCCTCGGCCATTGCTACATCGCCAGAATCGTACCGAGCGCAGGATTATCTGACACTGAAACAACAGGCAACAAGCGAATCACCGGAATCCAGCTCACCGGTTAAACCCCAAATGACCATGCTGTTTGCTGGTGGCGGTGGTGGTGGTGCAAAACAAGCATCGAAAACGGGAAGTGACAAAAACGCCAGTGCCAAAAAACTGGGTAGTTCGCCAAGAAGTCAACCGGAACGGAGCAGCGAATCGATGAGGCTAAAACTGAGGCGACTACAACGACGAATAGAAGAAAATGTACGACAAAAAACCAGTGGACGAAAGTCGGACACGACACAGAGGACAGGGCAGACATCGCCCCTAAAAAAGTGACCAAATTTTTGATCACAGTTATCACCGAAAGGCTTGAAATTAAACTTAAAATTGTTCTTGGCTGTATTTCTTGTGTGTGTTAAAATCAGAATCCTCAAAT